CGATTTAAGTTCTTTCAAGGGAATTGCAATGAATATCGTATTAATCATGCGTAGCTTACTCGTTTTGAGTCACTTTTCGATACGACCTCCGCCAAAGTTTTATTACTTTCACTTTAATTACTAAGAAGTAATTACAAAAAAATGTTTCTACCTAACATTAATTGCTGAATATTTTAATAAAAGAATTAGCTTATAAGCATCAATGAGTGACGATGAAAATTACGAACCACCTTTAACTGTGGTAGGGCCACTCAACAGCTTCGGCTGTTGCCAGAATGGTAAGTCCGGGTAAGTATCACGACCTCATAGAAGACCGGCCTGAAGTGGAAGTGATATATTTCTGCGTTTCATCTGGTGAGTGAGGCAGCCGGGGCCCGCTTTACTAACACAACGCATCTGCAACCCTACATGTGTCGCAAATGTTCATGGGCGGCGTATCACTTAACATGAGGTGAACTGCCAGCTCGCTTGCTATCTTGCATTAAAAATATATATCAAATATACCTTTTTAGGAGTTATTGTTGTTTTCTTATGCAAAAGAAGTATAATTTCTTACGTGCCTTTATGTATAAGTACCTTATCTTATAGTAACACATACCTCTTTATAACGATTTATCGTATGTACGTAAATTATTTAATTAACGTTTTGAATATCGAATCACGTAAGATGAACGTTAAAATGAAGTTTTAATATTAATAATTTTTTTTCAAATAAATTACTTATTAAACTTAGCATCTGGGTCGTCCGCTGCAGATGGCTTCGATGTGATCGGGGAATACCCATCGTAACTGAGATGACAAAATTGGCTCGTACGAATAACATGGGCAGTGAACCCTAGCATCTCAGACCTATAATGAAGTATAGACGTTGTGTGCAAACAATCGGTTTTGTGTGGGTAACATGGTGTATCGAAGATTTGCGCATGTGTCCTAGAGAAAAATGTTGCAAGCATTGTGTTACGGCTCACGTGTGATAGAGATATCCTTCAGTGAAAAGGTTTATTATTAAGTATTACTGTGTTTTATTTGTTTTGGTTGTAGAATTTTTATGGGATATTTGTCAGCGACGATTAGTCTGTCTCCGTATAGTATTGAAAGTTCACCAAGAAACATTATACAGCGTGTCGTTACAACCGTGACAATAAATGAACACACGTCTAACGCTACTTGCCAGTAATCATAAAAAAATATAAAACGTTAAAATATTCATGATTAAAAAATATTTTTCAAACAAACTAATTAAATAAAAAAGAAACAAAATTTGTAACACCCTGTACAACTACAACTAACTGATTCATACATTCAGATACTTTTTCATTCGTTGCCGAAGCGTCGCATTACATCCTTCTAACAGAATGTTTTATCTCTTTTAAATTCATTCAACCCATTCATATGCTTTGTGACCTTTACAGATGAACTTTACGTTAAAATTTTATACGTAAGGGTGTTCTAAAATTATTTGTTTTGGAAAATTTTATAACTCTGTAAATATTGACGTTTAAAGAGTTTTTAGAAGAATTAAATCTTTAATACAATTTTAATAAGTTATCCTCTATGTATTAATTTGATGTGTATTAATTTAGGGTCGCGTTAGTAGCGCCACGCTGTATTATAATTGGCCATCGAGCTAAGCTCATTTATAATAAGTTGCCCAAACCGTGGAAATCGAACTAATTTCTTAAAAAAGTCAAATAAAGTCATCATTGACTGAAACACATAATATTATAGTATCTTAGATTTTTTGAAAGAGGACAATTTTTCTTCACTTTTAAAATGAATAATGTTGTTTATCTGATTTATAGAATTTTTAATAAATTTCTAGGCTGACAAAAAAATCAAAACTTACTTTTTCGTAAAGATTTCTTAACTTGCAACACTAACACAATATATAAAAACCGGGCAAGTGCGAGTCGGATTCGCGCACGAAGGGTTCCGTACCATTATTTATAAAAATGTCCATGGATGCAGGTGGCTCAGGATCGTACTTCGTGGCAGTCTATGGGGGAGACCTATGTTCAGCAGTGGACTCAAACAGGCTGATGATGATGATGATGATCTATAAAAAGGGCCAAAAAAATGTTGTATGGAGCTGGACCTTTAATATTTTTGTTTTATTCTGTTTTTTAGTATTTTTTGTTATAGCAACTATTATATTGTTATGGCAACTAAAATACATCATCTGTGAAAATTTTAACTGTCTAACCATTACGCTTCATGAGATGCAGCCTCGTGACAGACGGATAGACGGATAGACGGACAGACGGATAGACAGACAGACGGACAGACAGACAAACGGACAAACGGACAGACAGACAGACGCACAGACGGACGGAAAGACAGACAGCGGAGTCTTAATAATAGGGTCTCGTTTTACCCTTCTCATATGGAACCCCCAAAAAGTAAGTGTTTAAAATAAAAATATCTCTAGTCGATCTCTTGAAAAAGAAAGGAATAAAAGAAAACACTCGAGTATAAACAGTTTAATTTCTTAACACTAAGTAAATACAAATGGCTCGCACGAATCTCTTATTCTAAATGTTACATATTTATTTACATACGTTTATCGGTTAAATTGCATCAGTTATATCGCCTTGTGTACCTAATGTCCTCAGTATTCACGTTTACTTTTTGGATGACAAAAAGTAATCTCTTTTAAGACGTATTTTTCAGTTAAAACTTAATACATCCACAGGTAACACTGTCCAATAAATCAAATCGTCTAAAATAGACTTACTAGACTAGGACATAGCACTAAAGGATTGTACTAAAACCTTACGAAGTGAAATAAAAAAAATCTTTTTGTCTAGGGTATTGAGATGATAATTAATTTTAATAACGCGATTACATAATTTCGTATTCTCATTTAAAACATTTAAGTAAATTACACAAAAGTTATAATACAAAATATCTTTATACTGACTCTATCTTTTCATTTGTTTGTAGTAAAGAGTTGGTTTTAGAAAATTTGTTATTTCTCATATCTATGTCGGATTAAAATTGAAACAAGATAGATGAAAAACAAATTATTTCATTTTATAAATGCTTATATCGTTGGAAAATGTAACTGTGGACAAGAATCTTCCCAGTAAATTGAATGAAATTAAAATTAAAATTTTGAAAAAAAAAAATCTGTCATCAACGTGATAAAGTTTTGTTTATTTTTACGTAGGTATCTTACATATTTTCATAAATTACGTACAGATAAAAAATAAATATACATATAAAATGCTGCAAATAACTGCATTCAGTGAACTTTTTATTAATGAAAAATTTATTTTATTTTATGTTTTTAATAAATGTTATGGATTTTAACAATTAAAAAAAGATGATATTTGAGTTTTAAATAGGCTGGATGATACTTAATAATACGAGTAAAAACGAGTTGTCAATAAAAAGTAGCCCAAAACGCAGCATGACAGAAATACAGACAGTAAATTATAACGAAAATAATGACTAAAAGGCATATTATGGCATTAGCTTAAAGCTAAATAGGCTAGTACTATATTTACATAAATAGTTATTTGGTGGAATGATTTTTTTAATCATCTCCATTTTAATGGAAATGACATATTAAAAGAATGCTGCTATTTTATAACATTGTAGTTCCATTTTACTTCCATAGACAATGTCATTTACAAGTAGATTTTTCGTGACTCATGAAAGATAACGGATAATTATAAACAGGTAAGTATTTAAGTTAATCCGATAAATTATTGACAAAATTTAAAAAATATGTGAATCTTAAACAACAAACACCAGTTTGGTGGAATAGTTGAAGTTGACTTATATATAATATTCCTTTCTCTTTATTTGATAGAGTTACATATCTGCTGTTAATACCCAATCCTGTAAGCAAATACAAATTTAGCAATCGTTCTTTCGAATTTATAGTTATTGATTGGTGAGCTCTGAAGCTGGAGCTCTGCCCAGCCGTGGGTCATATATATGCTATTACTTCCCTGTTTTTAATAATTAAAAAAATGTTTGATGCGAAATTGAAGAGAATTGTTAAACGTCTAATATCAATATTGTAAAAATTAAAATGGATAATTTAAAAGAGCAATAAATATGTATTGATTTTATATTTTTTTCCTAATGATTTATTCCAGACCTAAGTATTTAATAATATTTAATGTATTATTGAATACTTAGGTCGAAGATAAGTCTAAGGAAAATCCAGTATATTCTTTAATTTTCCATTATTACTTTTCGTTGCAAAATTTCACCAGGGCTCATATTTTCATTTCGTATTTTTTTCGCATGGTGGTAAAAATGCTTTAATAATTTTTATCAAAACACAATTATAAAATGTAGCATATTGATATTTCTTTTAAATTTTTTTCTAATTTTTTGTGATAAAATGAAAATTATGAGGGATAAATATATAGATCGATATTTTAAATGTTTCAATTTGACTAGACCGCAATTTCATTTAATGATAACGAATTACTATTGTAGAGCATGTAAGAGACTTTTATGAAAAGTGTTAACTACATGGCAGCCTACTTTATAACTATGGTTAGTTGATAGTGCTCACAAAATGGCCGACTGGAGAATCTTCAAATCCTTCAATCAACAAAATCAATTTGTAAAAAACTTGTTTGTGTGCGTGTACTTACGTACATACGTAAGAAGTTATACTTCTTTAACGTAACAAAATAAAAATAACTAATAATTTTATTTAACGTGTGAACAGTAGTCGTTGTTTGTGAAAAAAAAGACATCAAATGCGATTGATGATGTTTCAATCAAATAACTTGAACTATCGCTAAATGTAAAAAATCTGTTATTGTTTGCCATGGTAACACGGTGACGCTTCTAGGTGCCGCGCATCGAATCATCATTTTTCCCAAACGCGGCGAAAGAAGATATAACTTCAAAATGATCACTGCCGAATGAAAACTTGTTGAAGATCGAATCACCCGTCAACTTCGTCGATGTCTGTAGCGATTCCACTGGCTTGCCTTGTGTCCGTGTCACCTGCTCCCGCGGGGGGGTCAGTTCGAGTGGTTCCTGGCGGGGTGCGGGGGGTGGGCGGGGTGAGCGGGGTGCGGGGAGTGGGGCAGCGGCGGCTGCAGGGCGGGGTTGGCGACGGCGATGATGCTGTCGCCACGCGCCGCCACCACTTGGGGCCGACTCTCCTCCGCCTCCTGGTGAACATTTTTTGTACGGTGGCATGCGAGCGACGGTTCACCTGACGTTAAGTGGTAATCGCCGCCCGTCGACATATGAGACACCCGTACGGTTGCGAATACGTTGGCACCCCATTCTTGATACAGCGAAAACTATTGTTTGGCCAAAATATTATCTTTATTTAAAATTCCTTTCGCTCACAAGTAAAAACATATAGAAAATGTGACAGGTGCCGATGATCCTCTAGTACTGAGGCCCTAAGTCTGACCTTCAGGTCGCTTCATCAGTTCGCAGACGTATTCAACGAATTCAAAACAAGTATCTATATTCAACATAGGAGCATTACACGCTCTACGTATACATTTTGAACGTTTTCAGGAATTTTGTTGTAGAAACGTATACACCTTCCCATAAAAGATTTACTTATTCTGCGCAGTCTAAAAATAAAGATTAAAAAAAATACGCAGTCTAATTGTGGGCAGAATCAATTTTTTGTTTCTGGTAATCATATCATGCACATTACTATGTCTCAAAATTCATCCGTATTTTTGAACATACATAACATTTTCAAGTATGTACTTAGAAGCAACAATCTATGTTGCTATCTCTAAACAAATTTGTAAGTGATTATTTGGGGCTCAGGTTGTATACTGCTCGAATAACAATAGTCAGCAAACCCCTCGCACAATAGCATCTGCCTCCGAACTTGGCTCAAGTATGATCAATCGCAATAGAGAAACATCTCACCGGCGGTGGAGTGCTGGTGCTGGAGTAGGAACATCGCGAGTCTGCATCATCGCTTTCAGCCTTCATTCCCCACCAGCTGGAAAAGTTACATCGAGTTTAGGTACGAGCCAGTACAAGACTGCATTCGCTTGACACATCTTATCTATATCATGGGTTTATGAGGAAATTAGTCTTTGTAGGTGCAGGAGAAAGGACATTGCAGCAGATTGCAATCAATTCTGTGCGGATGTGGCCAAATACTGGTCGAAAGAAATTTAAATAGCAATTTAGACTCGAATAGAAAAAGAAGGGGTCGGTATTTGAAGTTTGTTCGACCCAATTGACAGCTAAACCACATTCAATGCAAGAAGAATTGTTAAAATCGTTTTCTTAAATGACAGAGTTCCGAGATAACGTAATCCTTTTTGAATTCGGGTGAATAGACCCTTCTCTGCCTTTATCGAACGAGAAGTTAAGCTTAACACAGGGCATGCCAGAATGGTAATTATGTTTTTGTTTTATGAAAATTATCGTTGGATGGACCAGAACGTTACAAGCAATGAACACACCTATGATTCGAAGCACCTCTTACCGCATCAGGACTTGCGTGGACACCGTTGCCTTCGTCGCAATCCTGCAAGACAAAACAAAATAGATTGAATATATAAGTAAGGACTTATAACGACCCGAATGGCGTAGTGATTGGTGCCTGCCTGCTGCGCCAGAGGGATTCGATACCCACTACTGGAAAAATATTTTATGATGAACATTTTTTTTCTACTGTCTGGTTGTCTTTTGTAAATAAATACATATTATATATGCGTAATGTGTATTTATTTACAAAAGAGAACTATGTTTATCAGTTATCTAGAACCCAATAGTACAATTAGTACAAGCGTTACTTAGTTTGGAACTAGAGAACGTTGTGTAAAAATGTGTACTAAAAATATATTAAAAAAATAAATGGTGTACAAACAAGCTGTTTTAAGAGGATGACTGAATAAGTCACTGAATTATTTCATTCGATTCAAATTTTGAACAGGCATTTAAGTAATGCAAAAATGATAAATATAGATGATATTTAAATTTTCATAGCTAATCTCTGCATTTAAGAACATTAAAATTTGTAGAAAAAGGGACGAAAAGATTCTCGCCCTTGCGGATCCGACGTCTTCCGAATACGCGTCCAGACGCATTAACTAAGCTAGATGGCTGATTGCCATCCCGTCTTTTGGCTACATTGTTCATCGCAGCGGCGAAAACCTTTTCTTCCCCGTTTTATACAAATATTTAATAAAAATGATAATACAATATCCACAGCCGATACAAAAAGAAATATATAAGGAAAAGAACGTATGGTTTGGAATAATCATTCCCGTAATAAATGAAAATAAAATTATAAACCCGCTTATACATAACATGCTATAGGGAAAGAACTTACCGTCAATCAACATGCCATTGCCGAGAATCTAAACGAAAGTATCAAAGCTAGAAAGGCAAATTATTTTAAAATAATACACATAACAGTGTGCGTATAAGCGTTTGATAAAGTTAATCATGCTTACCTGTGGTTTTGCTAAATAAATAAGAAAAATTCTAAGATGTTACTGGACATTTTTAATTTTAGTTGCTCCTCTGTATTTATGGCTCAGATTAGTTTGTTTTAGAAATTTTTTTAATACCAAAGAGTATTCCACAAGGTTCGATATTTTTCGTTTACTGCTTATATGTGTTATGATGGTTTTAACTATAAATTAAGTATTTATAAGTTAAAAACTAATCGGTTAAAAGAGTGATACCAAACTTATTAAGCTTACTCAGATTCTCTTGTTTAAAATCCATTATACCATATTTATCGAAATTTAGTCATTACGGTTAGTTATTTATTTCTCTTTCTTTTTTCTCTTCATCCTTCTCTCAAATATTAGTTATTTAGCCTCTATTTTAATTAGATTTCATTAAAATATAAAGCTGTTTGTTTTATGTACACTGTACACTATGGAAATAAATAAAGGTATATTACACGACTGAACAACTAAGTTAATTACATAGCACCGAGGTTTAATTAGAGGGCTGTGTACAATATTTGATATGCCTACACCAAATTTCTTAAAATTATAATTAGGTTAATCTGACAGATTTGTAATAGCGAAATTCAATTTTATTTCATCTAAAATTGTTTTTTTTAGTCAATTTGATCAATTTTTTCAGTCTCATTTTAGAGCATTTTTTTACATTTTAATATTATACATATTAAATGAAACTAGTTTACGGATTTTATTGCAGTTTTTATTATTATATATAAGATTAAATAAAAACGCGATAAAATCCGTAAACTAGTTTCGTTTAAATTTAGAGATTGACTAATAAGCCATAAACGATTGCATTTAGAGTTATTACTCGCTTGTTAATGGGTTAGGTTCTATTGTTTAGGGTTCTACGGTAGCTTCTGTCTAGACTAGATTGGCTAGTCGGTTAGATCTACATGTGTGATTGGCGCGACCTGCCGCGGCCGTTTGCTCGGTGTCTCGTCTTCATCCCGTTCGCGGTCGTCGTGCGGCGCGTTTGGCGGGAGGCTGGAGAAGTTTGGGAAAAGGATTAATCGATCCTCTCCTCGACCATTTATCTAATGAATGAATGAATAAATGGATGGATGGATGATTCATTTATCCATTCATTCATTCATTCTGAATAAATATTTATTTAGTTTCAACAAACACAGTTATGATAACAATATTTCTATGTTTTTTAACATGAGTCGACTGTGAATAAAACGTATTTACTAATATTGACAAGATTAAATCTATCTAAAATTACATATTATCTAATAAATTTCAGCGAGGAAATGCAGCTAACGCTCTTGGCACCATGCCGCGTGGATTAGGTTTATTAGATAATTATGCAATGTTAACAATTAAAAGAACATATATCTAAGACATGAAACCAAATAGGTATGTACTAGGTACGATTTACCGATTTTCAGTATATACCAAAAATTGAAATTATAAATACCACACTACAACACAATACAAACTAGACTAAGATCAACACAAACATATATTCTTATTTCATTTTCATGAGCCGTGACAGCTCAGTGTTTGGGCGTTTGGATTTATTTCGATATACTCGAGCAACCTGAGTTCAATTCCCAATGTCACCACTGATGTTCTTGACGTTCAATAATAACAGGCCTATATTGAATAGAAATTTTTAATTTGACTTTAACTACCTCACGAATACCTCACGAACCTCTATGTATAATGTTTTATGTAAAATTTGACGATTCATAAGAATGCGCAAGAATTTATTTGAATAAAGATTTTTGATTGATTGATTGATATGACAAGACGGCAAGCGAGCTGGCGGTTTACGTTATAAATCAACCACGACCTTACAGAAGCTTACGGGTGCTACAAACATCCGTGTGTTGTCCCTTAACATCAGGTGAACCACCGGCTTCTTGCCAAATATTAAAGACTTACCCGTGCTTGGAGTAGTGGAGGCCAGCTCTACGCACGAGCTGCCTGGCGAGGGGGAACAGCTCGTCACGTCGCGTCAGCAGGGCTGGCACGCAGCGGCACATCTGAGCCGCCGCCTCATTCACCATCACCTACGCAAGCGAAGGTTCACGAGATTTGAACGGAGATCAAATGAGAGTGTTCAAGGTTCTCAATATCCATTTCGTTATCCATTACACCACGCACCGTCGAAATGATGATAATCCGCGCAAGAAAGAGTTCACGCTTGTATCTTGTATTAACTGATGTTTTTGCTTTCAGTCCCGAGACTATTAAAGCTTCATCTGACGCAGAACCGGTGGGCTAGCCAGAACCCACGGGTTTGGGCCCTCCGCTGTGGGTAGGGCCACGCATGTGCTCATGCGTGCGTTTAACTATGGTACGTCATCTAAGGGCCATCGAGGTCGTGGTTCGGACCGAAACCCCGATGGCCGTCGACTGTGCAATTAGCTAATCGGTGGCTGGGAGCGGTGAGAACCGCCCCGGAACGCGGGTGTACCTTGTGTACGCGTTGTGTTGGTCTCGCCGTGCTCGGAGGCGAGGGCGAACTAGTGTGTTTGTTGTTGCACTAACTGTGGGTGTATTGTTGTCCGGCGGGACCCCCGGCGGTGGGTCCGGCGTATCTAAGTCGGAGTCCACGCGTGTATCTCAAGGGTGTATTACTATAATAAACGGCTTTACTTAAGTAATGTGTCTACTACTATCACTAATAGCGAATACATTGCTATAATCTTCATATATATATAATAGGATAGGATATTAAAAGGCAGTGATCATAAGCTACCAAGAATCGAGCCTATTATATGCCCACTGATGGACAAAGGCTATATTACCATTGGTATTAAGTTCACCGAGCGACCTGAAAGAGCTGAGATGAGCCTGAGCGAAACTGACAGAATTTACATATCTTATATATATTTTTTGTCATGTAGTTTTTCTTTCATACTGCGAGAGAATACTATCGTTCTGACTAATCACAGTTTAGGAAATAACAAAACTAACCTCATGCAACGTTAGCGGCTTCTCAGGTTTCCGCTTACAATCGAACCTGCCGTATATCGCCGCGTACTTCCTTATCTCTTCCATCCTCCTCGGATCCGATTCAGGCATCATCATCACCAGCTCCAGGTCTTTGCACATCTTCTTCTTGGCGTTCTGCGGCTTCGGCTCCAACTGGGGCAGGTGCTTGCTCAGCTTCTCCGCTGCCGCCGCCAGCTTCTGCACGTGCACGTCCAGCAGTACCGGCGTCAGCTGGACGGGGGAGGTCACGGAGCTCGGACTGGACCCTGAGGAGGCCGGTGGACAAGCGCTCTGGGGGGAGAACGACCTGGCGGTGGTGGTGACCGGCGTGGCGGCCGGCGATGAAGGCAGAACGATCTTGGTGAACGTCGCTTGGCTGTGCACAGGGCTGACGTTTGGGGCGGAGGTGGTGGAGCCACAGCTATTGTCAGGAGCGCCTGGGGACGGGCTGTACATTGGTCTACTGCTCTCGGGGGACGCTATCGTACGTGGCAGGACGGTGGGTAAAGTTGGCGGGATCAGCAGTCTTTGGTTGCACTGGATGAACGGGTTCTCGGTGGGGCATATGTTGGGCACGATGGGGATCTGGAACAGCGCCGGGTTGTTCACCCACTCCTGCAACGCCTTCTGGAGACGGCGCACGTGGAGCGGTTTCGACGCCATGCCGACTAGCGCCATGATCTCCAGGAACTCCTCCTCGCCCGCGTCACATAGTTGCTGGACATCGTCACCACCTGGAAGAAGAAAGGCGATTTCATGAGCATGAGATTTGAATGAAAATCAAATGAGAGTATTCAAAGGATTATATGGTTAACAAAACTTTACTGCGACCTTGGCAACAGACTACTCCTTTGCTCTTTAAGTATTTCATTAAAAGTATCTAGAGATTCTATCGCCATCAAAAGTTAATTTAGATGAAATTGTTAATTTTATATAGGGAAAAGGGGTTAATGGGAGTCTGTGCGTAGTGGTAAACTTCAACCACTAGAGATACGTAAATGGCCTTCCTACTCCGCTATGTGCCCCTCACAATCGTTGCGAGCCGGCTGAGTGACCCCCATTGCCCACTAGGGTCCACTATTACATGCGTTGTAATTGCCGTATACTATATTTTTTGATTTAATAAAAAATCTTACTTGGCACCACGTCTTGGACGGCTGACTGTGTTCAAATTTGAAAAAGAAAAGGATTTGGCCGACTTCATAAAGAAGATGGCGAATATTTTTTATGGATTTATGCACAGCTAATGAAATTAGAAAAGCGACATTTGAATACGCTGAAGACTTAAAACAATTTTAATCAGTTTTCGAAAATGGCTGGACGTGACTGGTTGTTGTCTGACCTTGCAGAGAAGATCACGCCTTACGAAGTAGCATCCCTATTGCGGAAGACATTTAATAACGTTTCACCTATTAGTAAAGGGGAATCGGGATTTAGGGCCACTGGTATTTATCCAATAAAAGCCAACGTTTATTCTGAAGAAGATTTTCTGCCAGCCGAAATGCTCCAGTCGGAGACTATTGCCATTCAAAAATATGATGAGTTAGATCTTAGATAGAGCTATTGATGACCCAGCACCAGTTCAAGGATAATCTTCAATAAATGGCACATCAATGCATGTTGGTTCACTGCAACCACCGCCACCAATTTCTAGCGCAGTTGATTATCTAGGCCCTGGCTCATCAGTCTGCGAGCTGGGATATGTTTGCGATTCGTGTTAGATTTTTGTTTGATCCTTATTGCCCACAATGTGACCACAATTACCGTTATCTCAGTGCAATTGGAGTCAAAACTGTTGTTTTTACTTTAACGCTTTTATTTGCCAAAGTTAATTATTAATGTGATGACTATTGATCTCAAATGATAGCCAAGTAAGTAGACTTTGTTATGAGGCGGTTGCAATAAAGATTCTGTTTCAGGTTTTTTTATTATTTCCCTTCGCTTAAGTGACCCCCATTACCCCTTTTTCCACTACTGACTTATCACGTGCTCAGTGGTAAAGAAATAATAAAATTTTTCACATTGCCAAAACCTTTGCCTTTAACATTTAGTTTTTTTTTTGATTAACTTTAATTTTGTGGTAATCTCCGCACTCAAGATAGTTCATTTAAAATGTGAAATTTTATAGACAACAGGTTCGAATTCCGGAAGCAGTAAAGCAGTAGCAGAAAAGGTATAGTTAAAAATAATCAAACCATACCTTAAAAGTTTTGGTTACATTAATACTTAAATCGTAATAAACGAACAATACTTACTAGGAACCGATTTACTCTTTTTATTTAATTCTACTTAATATTTATAATATTTTGCAGACATTGGTGTTGTTTATAAATAAAGCAAAATAATTCTATGTTTTTTGTATAATTTTTAATGTATGACTGTTTTATGTCCCATATTAAAAAAAAGAGTTACGTTACAAACCAAGCGTCTGTACGTCTCAACAATAGTAGCAATCTGTTTCTTTGTTCAAAACTAGACACTCTTAAATTTTGGAATACTGTGTTGCCTCATAAAAAGAGCAGCATTAGTATGCACGCATATCTACCGGGGTAAGTTCATCGCGACTACATTGTTCGGGGTAAAAACGTGTGATTCGGCAAAAAACACTGGCTCACACTGATCTTTAATTTAGGCGAATATGCAAATGTCTTACGTGACCACGTTACGGAGGGGCTAAGAGAGAAAAAAAAACAAAAGGGATAAAGCCGGCCAAACCCTTCCTCAGACCAGATAATTGCCAGGCGGGAAAAAAAGTAAGAAATTGGAGGGAAAAAAAAGAAATTTGCATGGGACGTCTGCACGGTTTTTTCGCGTATGATAATTTATTTTTTGACTCCACAAAGTTTTAGGTTGAGACCCATGAGAAGATTGTTTTTTTTTTTCAAGTTCCTATTTTGAATTATATTAATGATTCATATTTTTTTTAAATAGTTTTGTATACTAGTAGTATTATTGAAATAAATAGTTAATGTTTCATATGGATCGCTGTAAAATACTTACTAAGACTAACTTTATTAAGTTGTTGTTGATTCTTACAATCAAAATATTTATTTTTCTTTCCTATTTTTTTACAATAAATATATTGCAGTATACTGTATATTTAATATGGTTATACGCTTTTCCAATTTTTATCAAAATAAATTGCCGGTAGAGACCTTAAAATGTTACAAAGATTGGGGGGACTGGAGCATGACTTTACGGAATAAGTTACAAGGATGAAACGCAAATAAAAAGAACTTAATTTGCTGGATCCCCTTGCATAATGAAAACGTTCTTACCTCCTCTTGTCCGCAAACGGGATTAAAGTACGAAAAAAAACAAGGAAAACGGAAAGGGACTCTTACTCTGGAGTTTTATGAAAGCAAGATTATTTTTCAAAAGGACGGCCCCCATTTTGAAATATGCTGATAATTAATCTATCGGTTACCATGTTTCACAATCTGTATGTTTCTGAACGTGAATTGGGAACTGATACATTTAAATATCTAATGGGTTTTTGTAGCATCCTAAATATAGACCACACCTAGCAAAGGGTTCACGTGGGCACAGGGTACAGTTTGTCACACGACGCCAATGCTAACTGAGAGACTTCAGAAATCTACGAACAATGTAGCTGTGTATTTAATTACTTGGCAGATATTCAGATTTCCTCACGATTATTCTGTCTGAACACTTGATAAATCAGTACTCTATATTGCAATTAAACCGTGGCAGGATTTGAACTTTGCTTACGTTAGTATACTGGTATCAAAGCGAGCGCAGGCACTGAGCTACCATGGTTTGGTAGAGGTTATTTAAACCTGTCGAGATTTACTTAAGGTGAGCTTTACAACCTTGGGACCTGATATGATCAGTGGGCCGTTCGTAAACAAAGTCTTTATATATCGAAAGTCAATGATGTTTAATAATACCGATGACGCATACCCATACTGCGCGGCGTTTAAAAATTGTACCGCTTTACATTATACGACATGAATAAGTGAATGTGACAGATGTTATAGAACGTGTGAACAAATCTATTGCAGCCATTAACGCTGACCTGGTCCAGATTCGGGACTGGTCAAACAGGTTTGGCGTCGTTGTAAATCCATCTAAGTGTCAGGCAATCATTATTGGCAGTTCTCATCGGATAAATTCACTAGACCACAAACTTATTTCACCTGTTGTCTTTAATGGCACATGTATACCTTTCTCACCACAAGTTAAAAACTTAGGGCTAATTATTGACAACAGCTTATCGTGGACATCTCATGTTACAAATATTTGCTGTAAGGTGAATAATACACTAAGATGTCTGTTCCGCTATAAGTATTTTCTCCCCTCGTGCACTAAACTGTTACTGGTACAGACGTTGGTGCTGCCGATAATTGATTATGCTGATGTTTGTTACTCGGATGCAAATAAGGATCTTCTTAATAAGCTTGACCAACTCCTAAATAATTGTATAAGGTTCATATATGGACTTCGAAAATTTGACCACATTTCCCATTTTCGAAGTCAGCTAAATTGGTTGCAGATTCGCGAGCGTAGAAACAGTCACATTCTTCGTACCCTATTTTCTATCCTCTTTGATCCCATCGTTCCCAACTATCTGAAACAAAAATTTTCCTTCCAATCTGATGCTCACTCTCGCAACCTTCGCTCTGATCACAATCTCTCCCTTCATATTTCTCTTTATCGTTCCCGCCTTATGTCCAACTCCTTTCAAGGTCAAGCTGTACGGCTCTGGAACTCGCTACCCATCTCAATCAGAAATTTTCTGACTAAAGAGAGTTTTAAACGTGCTGTCTTTAAATTTTATTTAGATAATCGACAATGTTGAACACTGACTTGCTTGAATCTCGACTTCTTGACATTATTCTAAAATATCTAATACTATATGGGTATGTATACATTTGTGTATGTATATTTGTATTATATATATGTATATGTGTATATATATGTATGTATATATATATTTGTAGTAGCTTATATATTTAGTATATGTGTATATTTATGTAATATGTATGTAATATTTTATATTATCATATTCTTTACTATCTCATCTGGCTCTTTCGCACCTCCTTATTCTCTCTGCTTATTTGTCGGTTGACTGGTAGAGAACACCTAATGGTGTTAAGTCCGCCATTGTACGTTATTGTGCATAAAGTTTTTAAATAAATAAAAATAAAAACGTGTGAAACGGATAGAGATAACAGTCTATAGAATTGCAATCTAATTACACCAATTGTATATATAGAGGCCCTCTATATATAATACCCTCTACATATAGAGGAGGCCTTTGCCCAGCAGTGGGACATGTATAGGCTGTTACTTTACTTTTACTTTTACTTTACACCAATTGGTGATTTATTTGAATTTGAGTGGCTCAGTTTCAAAGTGTTAGTGTTTTCGCCCCCGTATCTAGGACATATCGTGTAAATTTTCATGAAAAAATCGCTGGCGTGACATTTTTCTAAAAATGTACTCCTGCTAAATAACGGGAGACAATACTAAATTTCATGAAAATCGCTGGCGTCGTCTCTGAGATTCCGATTATATATATATTATATTTGCTCGTTTATCGTGTTACGAAAAGCCTTCTTAAAAATGTTTCGATTTTCGCCCCCGAATCTACGGACATACTAAATTTCATGAAAATCGCTGGCGTCGTCTCTGAGATTCCGATTATATATATATTATATTTGCTCGTTTATCGAAAGTTATGTTTCTGAACTTCACTGATGCCTAACAACAAGTTGGTGTACGTTACTGAGATCCTACTGAATACCTATCTGACCAGACATCGACGGTTGTGAAGGCACGAACAACCCTTCAACATGCATGTGCCGACTCGACCGGGCCAGTAGCACAGCCTCTGTTTTTCTCTTTATTTGATGGTGAGGGACAGTCCACATTTCACAACAGCCTCTTAGTAGACCAGAATTCTTATTCGTCTGGTGATTGACATAATCGAAAGTAAAAGCAAGTACCTTCGATATTATTGCTGTTGTGGATGTCACCTTGTTTTCAACTTCTTAGTAATAGACTCACCCATTTCTAGCAGCGTATCGTAGTATGCCAGGAGGCTGGCGCGCTGCATAACCCTGTAGAGTTGAAGTTCCGCCTCGTTAGCTGGAGCCGAGGTCACCACCACTGCAACGCAAATGATCATCATTGTTTTTCCATATGGAAGCCGACTCACGAGATTTTGTAAGTTACTGATGCGATAAGCTCTCAAAAAATATTACAAACTATAACTAATGTTAAAACAAGTATATATGTTAAATAAATATTCCGTGTTAAAATTGTTTCGGAAACTATTAGAAGAAGAAAGTCGATAGACTAAAAAGATCATTGATTCAAGATTTTGAATCACAAAAAAGATTAATTTAAATACAAGCTATTTAAATCATTGAATTTGAAGATGAATGGAAATAAAACGGAACGGAATGGGGGATAAAACGAAGAAAACTTTAAACATTAACGTAACCTGAATAGATTCGTTCTAAATTCTTTTTCTTCTTTTACCGATTCTTAATATTATGTATGCCCATATGAATGGTGGTATATCTTAATATAGAACTTGTGTTATAAAATCTAAAAGCCAAATAAAAAAAAAACATGTTTATAATAATCACATACATCATAACTATGTTCAAAGAAGCTATAAAAAATTAATTATAAGAAGAAACACATGTAACCAAAATATTTTAAAATAATACAATATGGCGTTCATTCATTCATTTATTTCATTTTATTATATTCACTTTGAAATTCACTTTGAACAATTATGCTCATTGCATTTTATGGTAACATCTGGTCAATTACGTGAAGCGAAATATCAATCTGTAGACATATCCACAATGTTTTACGCTTTCTGTGTTAAATCCAACAGACGACTTCACTTACTTAACTTCACTTTAAAAAAGTTAAGGCCTTTTACTAAACGTATGAAATCCATTATAACATAAGCCTTATATCAACCTATTCGGCAATGTTGTCTAAAAATAGCGATATGTTCTAGTTGCCGGCATATATCAACATCTCCTATGAAATATAACGTGCCCTCCCATAAATGTTAAATCGATTATCTGATTTTTATAACGGCTTTCGGCAACTATTAAATGTTTCCTTAGCGATACCTACCAATTCAGTATTATTGTTCGATTCAACTAACGCTTCTCTCGAGCCCAATAGGACGTGCGTGAGTCAAATAATTTAGTGGCTAAAATCGCGTGAGGAGAATGCGGAGTAAAAAACAACCCCTTTTAATAACATCCCCAGCTATTACCGAAAAGAGGCGACCGTTAGCGGACGAAAAAATAAATGAATAAGTTTATATAAAGGGGTCCGTTCCTTTTGTCGCGCGGAACGGGTTGGAATTGACGCGCCAATGCGACCTTTGCGCGGGAAAAATATCGATTAGGGTTGCTATGACGAAAAAAATGTTGCCACCCTTGCGGCGTACACTATTGTTTTTTTATGCTTAGAAAAACTGTGGGGTGGATCGAAACTCCACCCCGGGGCTCAGGTAGAAATAATATTAGACAAAAAATGTACAAGGTATATAAATTCAACAAAAACTTTTACATTAAGTGTTTAGAGAAATGGGAGACTTGTGTGGTACACATACATACTATTATAAGAGTTTAATAACCTGTGCATTCGCAATTATACTTTTCAATAACATTACAACTTTTATTAACAAAAATATTGTTGCTGATATACATTAACGTTTTAATTTTCATCATAGTTACAAAATAATCATAAATGGATTAAAGCAACTAGGAAACTTGATTTTCTGAATATGTTTCTCAATAATTAAATAAGAATTTCATAAAAAAACTCTTCTATCGTTCAGAAGAAAAAATAGCGAACTTAATTTATCTAAAAGAAATCATTTTTTTCTTAGTAACGTAAAAACTCATCCACGAATACTTTCTCAGGCCATAAAAAAGCTTTTTCTCACTGAGCGGTGTCCAAAAAATGTATTTGCATAATCTTTGGGCGTTAAAAAAATCGCCACAGACGACGTATGCAAATTTTGGCGCGAACATTTGAAGGGTTGAGGCGACCAGATGGCCCCGCTTTTGTCTCTTTTTTCGTCCTTTCTTAATTTTTTATCTATTAAATTGGTCACGTAACGTATTGCATAGTCATTTTAGCGCAGAGTTGTAATCAATGCTTAATTTTATACAACTCTCACGGTTTCTCGGGCCGGGTATGATTTTTTTTTGTTTTATAGCTTCTGCTTAAGTAAGTAGAGATGTAATAATTCAGAATAAACTAGTAGGGTGTTAGTTGATTTATTATATATGTTTTTAAGAGTTTCGATAGAAAAATACCTATGTACCTATTGATGGTTTCCCTAATTTTTACCTTCTTCCGCCTTTGTCCGTAAGAAAATCCAAAATGTAATTATGTAGCAAAGAAATGGAACCCAATTTCTTCTTTTATGATATTTTAGAGGTTCTTTTAATGGGCAAATAACGAATTGTTTGCGAAGACGTATTTTTACCTAAATTTAAGAAATAATTGTATAAATACTATATCGAATGAACGTTAACTAAGTAAAATTTTTTTGCCTCTTAAAAATGAAATAAAAGCTAACATTTTATTGTTGCTGGGCCATCAATTTTATCACCCACTAATTGCCTGCAATTTTTTTCTTCTTAGTTATATGTTATTGACGACCCAAATGGCGTAGTCGGTAGTGTACCTGCCTTCTGCGCCAGAGGGTGTGGGTTCGATCCCCACTACTGGAAAAATTTTGTGTGATGAGCATAGTGTTTTTCTTAGTGTCTGGGTGTTTATATATGTATAATGTGTATTTATTTACAAAAGAAAAGTATGTTTAAGTATGTCTATCAGTTTTCTAGTACCCATAGTACAAGCGAAGCTTAGTTTGGGACTAGAGAACATTGTGTAAAAAAATGTGTCCTAAAAATATTTATAATGATATTTATAATAATAATAATGTAATGTCATGAGTGTTTTCGCTTTACAAAGAACCTTCCATAAATCTCTCATCTGTTACTTTTACTGGAACTTTTCTTTAAAACGAGTTGGCGGTTCACCTGATGTAAAGTGATACCCGCCGCCCATGGACATTTTCAACACACGTAGGTTTGCAGATGCGTTACCACCTTCATATCAGTGGTAAAAATAGGAAGGAGGACATTCAAACATAAAAAAATACGTTATTAACCCGTATAACACCGAAATGTGTACCTTCCTTGGGAAACAAAAACCCAGATCCTGATCAATCACCTGTTGGTCACACGCTTTACGGTGGCAGGGCCACGCAGCAGCCTCGGCTGTTGCACGAATGGGCAGGCTCCTCCGGGTAAGTACCACGACCACACAGAAGACCGGCGTAAAGTGGAAGTATGATACTTTCGCGATTCGTCTGGTGAGTGAGGTGGCCAGAGCCCGATTTTCAAAAGGTTGTCAACGCGTCTGGAACTCTCGGGTGTAGCCGATGTCTATAGGCGGCGGTATTCACTTAACATCAGGTGAACCGTCTGTTCGCTAAAAAAAATACAAACATTTGTCCCGTGTGGGAATCGAAATCAATCAGTCTCGGATATAGCTAATCCGTGTAGATAAAGCGCACCGTTCATAGAAAGATCGTTTATTTGCATGATAAACGTCCTCCCGGGGGTAATTACGAGGCGAGAGTGCGGCGACAACACACGTGCGTCACCGTGCGAATCTACCACCGATCCGCCATATAGGATAGTAATTAGGCGACGGTGCACCGTGCGATCGAACCCGGGCCCTTTGTGGCGCGTCGTCTGAATAGCGCCTAAGCCGCGCTAATACAATCGTCGCGCCTATAAACAAAAACCCGCCTTTGTGCTAAGTCATATGAATGATCTGTTGCCAGTACGACTAGTATGATTCTTGTAGTTTTGAGGACATTAACAGTGCGTTTTGATTTGATAATTTAATAACTTTTTGAATAATGTTTAAGTAATGTTTTTTTATAACTAAATAAAGAGATAAACGTTGGGTATTAAAATTAAAAATAAACACGAAAACACCATAAAATTAGTTTCATTTATAAGAGACAAATTTATCATAAATGATCCGTCAAGAGTGAAATAATAGGTTATTGAAAAAGTTGTTTATTACGTTTTTTTTAATCAAAATGATGCACACAATATTCATTATTTATTTTTATTCAACGTTATATAAAAGTAAGTTGAATTATTAAAAACTGCAACGCAGTCTTAATACTATAGGTGGTAGATTTTTGTTGACGTTCAATAAGAGCTTAAGTTAGGCCTATATTGAATAAATATACTTTGACTTTGACTTTGACTTTATACACACAAATAATCGTTAAAACAAACGTTCAAACGAATTAAGTTTAAGTGTCTCAACTCAAAGCATATGCAAACGAATAACCATTCAATAAACAACATTAATTATACTATTCCATGCTATATAAGAGCAAGTTGAAATGTTAAAAATTTCAACACAGTTCATACTGTACAATCGAATATTTAAGTTGAAGTGTATCTTTAATTGCATTTGCAAACGGATATGTTTAAAGACTGAAGAAACATGGCCACCCTGTCACCCTACCGAAAACCAAAAACGGGCGCTAATGACAGTTGCGCGAAGGAGACAAAGATGGCGGGATGTGCCCGCGCATGTGATTAGGTCCTTTCGCCACTTGCCCGTGATTGATATGCGCAATATTGTCGCACAATATGAATATTAACGCGCGCTTTGTGCAGGTTGCTCTAACGACCTCCAAGACGGCTGTTTTTATGTCTCTACTTCCGTGCGAAATCCGCGCGTACGAGTCTTAACAGATTAAAAATACTTTTTTTCTTTATATACGTTGGGGCACTGACACGACGTTACGGCGTTAATAGTTAGAAGAATGATATTCAATGAAAACAATTACTTGGTTTTACTGTTTTATTTATACCGTTATTCAAATGTTACTGTCCTTTTTAGTTTTTGAAATGTCTATAAGTAACGCGACACTTGTTATTATAATTAAATCTTCTGTCTCCAGTTACAAGAAAAATTGAGCATACACTACTTTTATTGTGTACTTGCTTTAGATCTGTCATCAATTATTAAACATCTTTTTATGGCTTCAAAATGTATGCGTAAACATCTTGAATTTCTAACATCAAGTTTTTTCAACATTCA